TTAAATATTTTACAATATTATTTGTCAATTATACCCCAATAAAGCTGAAATTGAAAAAATAGGGGCACCTGGGTGGCTCAGTTGGTTGAGCATCCGACTCTAGTTCTCAGCGAAGGTCATAATCTCAAGGTTCATGGGTCCAAGTCCTGCTTCAGGCTCTGTGCTGACAGTGCAGAGCCTGTTGGGATTCTCTCCCTCTCTGTCTGCCCCTCCCCTGCTCATGCTACGTCTCTATCAAAAATAAACAAGTAAACATGAAAAAAAATTTTTTTAATTCATACACAAGTTTTTGCGTGAACATGTATTTTCTCTCTCATGGGTTTATAGCTAGGTATGGGATTGTTGGGTCATGGTAACTCTGTGTTTAATCTCTTGAAGAACTGCTAGACTGTTTTCCAAAACAGCAAGACTATTTTATATTCTCAATAGTAATATATGAGGTTCTCATATCTCCACATTCTGGCCAGCACTTGCTATTATTTAACTTAAAAAAATTTTTTTAATGTTTATTTTTGAGACAGAGAGAGACAGAGCATGAGTGGGGGAGGCGCCAGAGAGGGAGACAGAATCCAAAGCAGACTTCAGGCGCTGAGCTGTCAGCAAAGAGCCCGACGTGGGACATGAACCCACAAACCCTGAGATCATGACCTGAGCCGAAGTCAGACACTTAACCGACTGAGCCACCAAGGCATCCCTATTATTTGACTTTTGAATTTTAGTCATTATGGCTTGAATTTGCATTTCCCTGATGACAAATAATGTCTAGTATTTATTCGTGTGCTTTTGATCATTTGTATGTCTTCCTTGTAGAAATGTCTGTTCAAACCCTTTGTCTATTTTTTTTTAAATTGTAATTTTGTATAACAAAAGTTATGCTATTTGTATTGGGGGAAGGAGATAGATGGGCAGCTGGAATAATAGAAGGCTTTTTCTATCTAGATGCTAGTCACTTTGTTCTGGACATCGATTGCTCTTTAACATATCCAAAATTGAGTGGTACAAAACAATTATTATGCTCCCAGATCACATGAGTCAGGAGTCTAGACACGGCACATCAGGACCTCCAGTCTCTGCTCCAAAATGTCTGGGGCTTCAGCCTCAGGCTACTCAGGCAACGGAGCATGACTCAAATGGAAGAGGCTGGAATCACCAAGCAGATTCTTTTCTCTTAGATCTATCACTGAAGCGGGCTGATTGAAAGCCCGAGCTCAGTTTGAATGTCGAACCAGCTTGCCTACCTGCGGCCTCTTATCTGGGTTGGTTTCCTTCCAGCATACTGGTCTCTGATTTGTCAAACTTCTGACAGAGCACTCGGGACTCTAAGAGAAAATGTTCTAGTGATTAAAGCGAAAGTCGCATGATTTCTTAAGGACAGCCTGAGAATTCCGTAATGTCATTTGCTCTATATATTGAGTGCAGCAGTCATAAGCCCACTCAGCTTCAAGAAGAGGAGCTGAAGACCCCAGATCTCAGTAAAAGAAGAGGGTTAAAGAGTTTGCAGCCATGTCTCACCACTGCCCTAGACTCCGAGAGATGCTGTAACTTCAGACAGCAGATTTTCTGTATTTACACCGACTTTGAGTACTTTATACATACTATGTATTGGTGAGGTGAGTAGGTGAAGATAAACTCTGACTACAATTTAAGATAATTGCTGCATGTGGTGGTTGGGAAAAGGTGCCTCGAAGATCCCTGATTTAGGGGAGCCTAACTGGCTATGTAAGGGCAAATACAAATTAAAAACAAGAGGCTTAATTCTCCCTATTAAAAACAAGGACCTCTACTTCCCGGTTTCTAGGAGAGGACGGGAGCCTAATTTCAGCTGGTGCCTGACACCAGGAAGCAAAACTGCCTCCTGTCATAAATACCTGAATGTGTTTTTTCCTTTGTATAAAGCCAATTAACTAACACAGATGGTCAACCCAACACCAGGTAAATTTAGGACAAACCACCTGTATTAAATAGTGCTGTCCAGTCACCTCACTGGAGGACTAGTTATTGTTTACCTTGAGAACATGTATGTAACGGATCGTATCTGTTTGCATTACATAAAAGGGTGAGATTTCTTTCTGTTTCTGTAAATTGCCCGGGAGGTGCATCAGATTCTGATTTAATGCTTGATTCAATAATCAAAGTGTTTTCTTTCTCTACTTCCTTTGTGGAGAGGTTTTCTGTGTTGGCAGGAGATTTTGCTTTTAACTTTATTTCCCCAACAGCTGGCAGGCTCGCCTCCCTGTGCTCACCCCAACCCCTTCTCTGAGCGGTTCCCAGCCAATGACTGAGCTGGGCAGAGAGTCAATAGCAGGACCCCCCCTTGGGAGACTCAGGCCACCTCTGATGGGCACCATGGAGTTGCAAACTCCCACTGACTGTCTTGAAACTCTCTTAGATAGCACTGCTACCTAAGACCTACCTCCGGTCCTTCCTTCTCCTTCCACAGAACTCAGGCTTACGTGTCTGAGAACAGCTTCCCTAGTCTTCTCCCGCTCACTCCTTCGTTTCTCACTGGGGCATTTCCCCTGGTAATGTGCTTGCTTCTCAGAGCACCCAGACCGAGTCACCACATGTCTTAGATTGGGTTTTCAGGTTGCTAGCTCATAACGAAGGCGAATGGATCAAAAATGTCTGAATCTTAAAACGAAAAAGGACGTTGTAAAAAAATATGTAAAAAGCAATCTCTAGTTTGTGTTTTCACAAACTAGGATTCAAATCCTAACGAATAGCTTTGCATACAAATTATAAGCAATGGGTCGTATGCTATTTGCCTTGAAAAATCACTAGCCCAGATGTTGAGAGTGTTACAGAATCTGGTCTGAACCGGCGGAACCAAGTGGCACTCAGAGATCTCGGAAGGGAGGAGGTTTATTTTACACCGGAGAGGTGGGTAGGGGGTTCAAGGAGATGATTCTCCAGAGGTCGGAGCCCAGGGCGGGGCGTTTGCAGAAGGAACGATTTATAGGCAGTTACTTCCGCATTCCTCATTAATCAGGGGCAGGTGTTGTTTTAGTCCTGGTGGCCATTTTACAACAGATTTTCCCCATCAAGAAAAATAAAGGTGGTTTTCCTAAGGCGACTAAGACTTTGGGAGCCTCCTGGAGACAATCTTCTCTTTGCCAGTGGATATCAAAGTACAGGAAAAAGAAACTTATTCAACATTAGAGCTTTGCATCCGTAAGTCTGTAACACTTAATTCACGAATCAGAGAAGTCCCAAAGAGGGAGCTTGCGTATCAGCAGGCATGGCAAGCATACTGAAGAGCGTATTTATGATGCTGTTTGCTGGAGAATTCCTAATGGGGATTTTGGGAAATGGATTCATTATATTGGTTAACTGTATCGATTGGATCAGGAACTGGAAGTTCTTCGTAATTGACTTTATTATTACCTGCTTAGCCCTTTCCAGAATAGTTCTGTTGTGTATAATCATTTTAGGCATAGGCTTAGATGTAATTTGTGAGGAAATATGGTACAATCATAATCAGTGGATACATTTTGAAATCCTCTGGACAGGATCCAATTATTTCTGTACAACCTGTACCACCTGCCTCTGTGTCTTCTATTTCCTCAAGATAGCCAGCTTTTCCAACCGCATTTTCCTCTGGATGAAATGGCGAATTCACAAAGTGCTTCTCATTATTGTACTGGGAGCGGCCTTCTCTTTCTGCTTGTCCCTGCCTTTGCAGGATACAGTGTCTAGGAACCTGACCAAAACCCAGGTAAACACTGGAAGAAATCGGACATTGAGTTTCACAGGGAGAGCATATGAGCTATTTATGTCTCATATGCTCCAGAACATAATGTTCCTCATCCCCTTTGGAGTGTGTCTGACTTCCTTTGTCCTTTTGATCTTTTCCTTATGGATTCACACCAGACAGATGAAGGGCGCAGGTGGGGATCCTATCACAAAGGTTCATGTGAGAGCCATGAAGTCTATGATTTCATTCCTACTCTTCTTCTTCATGTACTATTTGAGCAGTATTATGATGAACTTGACCTATATCATCCTAGACAGTTGGGTGGCAAAAATGTTGGCTAACACATTAGTATTTTTATATCCATCTGGCCATACATTTCTTCTGATTTTCTGGAACAGCAAATTGAAACAGGCTTCTCTCTGTGTCCTGAAGAAGCTGAAGTGCATGAATCTAAGGAAACCCGCACACCCATAGAATGTGCCAGAAATGATTGCGATTTTGTCAAGAGTGAAGATAATGTGTAGAACTCCATGTACATTTCTTTCCTTTCTCTCCACTTCCTTTATTCTGTTCTGAGACATAGTCATTGAATCTTGCTGAAAATATCTGCCTGGAATAAGTTAAAAGAAAAAGATTTTGCTGTGTTTTCATCAGAAAAGTCATGTAATTAGTAGTAAAATTAGAATATATCCCCAAGACAATGGGAATTTGCTGAGATACAAGAGCAGACTTGGGAAGACAGAAATCTACTTGTGGCTAGATTTCAACTGTACAAAATTAAGTGTAGCAAGTCTCAGAGACAGAAAACTCCCAGAATTGATGAAATAAATATTTGGGAATTCTAAAACCTTATTACCTGTGGCTGATGGCTAACCTTGACTTAAAGTTGTATTTAGGAAAGAATGAACATAAAATGAACTGGTATGACGAATTTTTGGCAATGCACCCACAATACATGCCTAGAAGTCCATTTGGAGAGCCCATGAGAACCCTACTATTTCTTAAACATATGCCAAAGTTGGGGGTCCCTGGGTGGCTCAGTGGTTAAAGCTCAGTGGTCTGACTTCAGCTCAGGTCATGATCTCATGGTCTGTGGGTTGGAGCCCCACGTCGGAGTCTGTGCCGACAGCAAAGAGCCTGGAGCCTGCTACGGATTCTGTGTCTCCCTCACTCTCTGCCCCTCCTCCACTCATGCTGTGTCTCTCAAAAATAAATAAAACAAATTTTTAAAAAATATGCCAAAGGTGGTTTCAAATAAGTAAATGAATAAGAGAGAAAAACACAAGCCTTAGAAAATACAAGGTATGTTCGCTTGGGCAGCACCTATACTAGAAACTGGAATGAGACAGAGATCAGCACGGCCCCTACCAAAGTTGACGCACACATTCACGAAGCATTCCATTTTTTTTTTTTTAAGTTCTTTCATTTGTATCATTCATTCAAACAAAAGAATCTGGTGCCTCTTACCCCCCAAAATACAAGGCTGAAATTCTAGAGTACTATAGAGGTTATTTTGCACACACACACAAAATACAGAAAACACTTACAATGCAACATAGTTTTACATTTTTCTCATTCCCCAGGTATAATGCCAGTTTCGGTATCAAGTATTACTCATTAATACTGGGTTATCAAGCATCTCATGTTTTGACAGAAGTTGCCTGCTTTTTTCTTCCCAGCAAATAAAACGTTACTTTATTTATTTCACCTTTCTCTCTCATAGATGTTTTAGTTTTTAAGCAACAAGATTTAAGTTTGCTATTTGACTTCCCATTGGCATATGAGAAAAAATGTGTTTATTTTTTTTTAAATATGTTATTTTAAAGGCCTATAGAACACATCGTAGGAAAATGAATATGGTGAAACTAATTTTTTGTTGTTGTTGAGATGTAACTGACATATAACACTGTGTAAATTCAAGGTATACAATGTGTTGGTTGGATACATTTATATATTGCAATGTGGTTACCACTGTAGCATTAGCTAACACCTCTATCTTGCTGCATAATTGTCATTTACTTTTTGTGTGTTGAGATCAGTTAGGATCTAGTCTGTCAGCAAATTTGAAGTTTATAAGTTATGTTGTTGATTAGACCTTCAGAACTTATTTAGCTGCTAGTTGTAAATTTGGACTCTTTAAACAACATCTCCCCAGTATCCTTAATCCCAGCCTCTCTTTTTACATGTTTGACTTTTTTTAGATTCTGCATGTAAGTAACATACAGTATTTGTCTTCCTCTGCCAGACGTATTTAACCTTAGCGTAATGAGCGATCACTTGTTTTTGATTCCTTCCTTGGGCAGTGTAATTTAGATATGGGATGCCTACATATTAAGGGGGTAGAATATTTTAAAAGCTTTGTCTAGGTTAGAGACACAAATTTTATTTTCAAAAAGTTGGACTTTAGTATGAAAGCAGAGCAAATTTAGTCCTTCCCCCACGGTCCCTACAACCCTATTTTGCTGAGTTCTTCTTTTTCCAGGGTACAACCTTAGGCAGAACCCACAGCAGCTATAGACACGCGAACACCACGTCCGATCCAGACTAAAACCGAAGCTTAAACCTACCGTTCAGTATCAAACTTCTCTCACTTGCCTTATTCAGATCCCCTTCGAGCCTGAACACCTGATGTGGGAAAGGTTGTTTCATTGCTGATTCTTGTTCTTCTCCCCTGTATTCATGCTGCTTTTGATTTCTTGATGATTGCAGCAAAGTTAGATAGCTAGTACCCCCTAGAGTTCTCCTTTGGCTACAGAGAGCTGTCGACCACACTGGATATTTTAATGCAGACTCATTCTTCTGTAGGTATCTATGTCAGGGATCCCCAAAGCCACCCTCATGTTTAATGACTCAGAGAAATACTCAGGGACTTCAGAAAAGCTATTATAGTCACAGTTACATTTTATTATAGTGCTACAGCAAAAAAAAAAAGCATTGACAGATCAACAATTGCGTATACTACACTGATTTACTCCAAGACAGTTATGATATTTGAAACAGTAGCTAGAAACTGGTTAAGAGATTGCGGATCTCTTTTGTAACAGCCTCATTTGGGATTTTGATCATGAGAATTGAAATTTTGCCTGTAACATATGGATCAAATAGCAGTTGAAAGTTTGAAGCGTTGATCTTTATTGTTGCAATTTATAAATTTCTCTGATATATCTAGGAACAGACTTTGCCTATTTGCCTTTTAAAATATTTGTTATTACTATAACGGTGGATGTTCTCTTTCTAGTAAAACCTCAAACATGTTCTCAGGTTAGCCCTTGGAATACCCTTTCAATCCAGAGTTTTATTTGGTTAAGAATTTTTCCCCATTGTCTGATTATTTCTTCTTATTTATCTTTCTTCTTGTATTTTTAAAATACCAACATGTAGACATTTATGTTATATTATTATTCTATAAGTCTCTTCATTATTCTGTCAGAATTTTTATTTATTATTTCTTCTGAGACATTTTACCTAAATTATTAGACTGGAAGTTCCAGCTCACTAATTTGACATTCAGAAGAGCCTGTTCTCTAATTCAGCACAACTATCCTAATAAAGAGAGAGATGTGACTTTAAGTCCCAAGTATTCTGTCTGCCATTTTACTGTAGGATAATATTGATGTATAGTTATGAAAGCCTATCAAATTTCTCTGATCCACCAATTGTTAGATGTAACATCTAACAATAGTTAGTATTCCGTGTCCTCTGCATTCCCTGCATTCCCTTGAAGGTTAATTCTTTTGTTTGTTCAATATAGTATTTCTCTTTCATTGTTTTGATTTGCCTCAACATTAATTTTTAATATCTATATGTGCAGGTGAAGTCAGTGGGCAAGATTTAGCTCAGGTATGTGGTTTTCTTTGTTGTTGTTGTTTGGTTTTGTTTCTTGTCTCGACCAATATACTTATACTTTCAACTATTGTGTCTCTAATTTTCCACACTTATAACCTTCAGTGGTCTGCCACATGACAACAGTACACCCTTACATTACCATCCAGCACATTTGATTTTATGACCTTAATCTAGGATATGCCTTGGTAGGTAGAGGGAACTAAAGTCAATTTTCTCACTCCCAGTTAAACTCAGCTGGTGCCTAAAAACCAGGGCATCATGGTAATTATGTTAACAAGGGAGTAGAGCAATGACTTTGCAGAATTTCCTTGGGGATATATGGATGGCTTGTGTTTGGGAAAATGGTGTCCTTTACAACTTGAAAGAAGCTAAGGTACTGCACTATTTGTTCTTAATTTAGTTATTGATCTTCTCATGGACTTTATCCCTTTTCTAACAGACTATTTGACTTTTTCTTATTAGCTCATAAGACTCCTTTATGAATTATGAATATTATCTCTTTGTGTGTTACAAATGTTGCAAGTGTTTATAAGGAAGGAGATATTAAGGATTTTATGTCTGGAAGGAGAAGAGTATAGATGATCAATATTCCATTGGTGACTATGAACTAATTTTTGAATATGAATTAATAACTTCTAAAGTTAAAAAGCAAATGACAACTGCGAGATGTATTTGTTTGTTTGTTTGTTTATACAGGAAACAGAAAATGTGATTATAACCCCAATGTAAAAAGAATTGGTGGGGGCACCTGGGTGGCTCAGTCAGTTGAGCACCCGATTTCAACTCAGCTCATGATCTCATGGTTTGTGAGTTCGAGCCTCACATCGGGCTCGCTGCTGTCAGCACAGAACAGAGCAGCTTTGGATCTTCTGAACCCCTGTCTCTCTGCCCTTCCCTGCTCACACTCTCTCAAAAGTATATAAAACATTAAAAATAAATAAATAAAAAGAATTAGTGAAAATACATTTTAAAAATTACTAACACTCCTCAAATAAACAAGTTATGAATAGGAACAGATACTTCACGATGGAAAACGCCATGTTCCACTTTCCAAACTAAGTATTTTTTATTTATTGACAGTGGTAACTTTGCACAGGCTGATAACAATTTGGATTCAAAAATACGCATCAAGGCCTCCTGGGTGGCTCAGTCAGGTACGTATCCATCGACTCTTGATTTAGGCTCAGGTCATGATCTCACAGTTCCAGAGTTTGAGCCCGTATCAGGCTCAGCGCTGACAGAGCGGAGCCTGTGTGGGATTCTTGCTCTCCCTTTCTTTCTGCCCTTTCCCCACTCATGTTCTCTCTCTCTCTCTCTCTCTGTAGGTCTCTTTCAAAATAAATAAACATTTAAAAAGAAAAGAAGATATGTATCAGAAAACGTAAAAATGCTTATACCTTTAAAGTCCTACTCTCACGTACTGAAGTTTCATCTAAGAGAAATATTTACATATATTTAGATAATCATTGGCATACTGTGTATAACAGAAAAAATAAAGTAGAAAAAGAAAGAGATAAAAGTATCCCCATAATAAGGGAATACGTGAAACAAAAGTGTTATATGTCCTGATGTAAGGTGAGGAAGCTCTTAGAGTCATCCTTGTGGAGAATCTATAAAACTTATAAAAGCCCTTGGCTTCTAAAGCTAGTAATTAAAACGTAGTATGACGATGAAACTTACCTTGGACCATGTCTAGATTGTTGGTGGGCCCTCCTTTATGGTGGATTTGTCTGTCTCAGGTTGAGGCACCAAGGTTCAGTTAGTCTCAAAGCATCATCTAACTAGCAAAGCAGCTAACTAACTAGCATCTTTGCAGGACTATATTTACAGGCTCCTGTCCCCAGGGCAGGATCTCACAAGATCTCCTCCCTTGGGTTAGTTATGTCATTGTTTGAGCCTTTCTACTATTAGTTTTCTTAAAAGACCCAATCATAAAAGTGGGGGGTGGGAATGACATCTAATTACTTTTGGTTCAACTGCACTGAAGACATTAATAAATCAAATTCTTTTTTTCTAGTTAAATTCAAGTGATCAGAACAAATATCCCTCAGGTGTTTTGTACTTAAGGCAGAAATATACACAACAGATAATCCGAAACATTGCTCTATATTTTAAGCATTTTTGCCAAGATACAGTAATCTGCATATCCTGTGGAAAAGTTTCCATACATTTGCTAACATTTCCCTTTTTTTCATTGTCCCCCTATGCTCTCAAGAATAAAAAAATATTGAAGATTCTTCTACACTCTCAAGAAGGCTTTTGAAGAAATAAGAGAGGTTCAGTTTGGGCATGTATAGTTTGGAGCACATATGTTTCATTCTGGGAGATGACCAGAAAGGTCTACATGTCCTTGGGAATTATGATACCAAGGTGAGATTCTTATATTGCTCGCCAAGTTTTCTGAAAATTTCAAGCCCTGCATTTTACTCTGTAATGCAGTGACCTGAACTGTGAGTGTAAGTAATCAGTAATGCAGAGATTGCTAGTTTTACCTACGTGTGGAAATATTTTCGTGTGGTGATAATTAGTGTTCCGGGTATAAAAGAGAAAACCACAGGTCCA